CATATGTCGTGAACTGCTAGCTCCTTTAACAAATTCTTCCTAAAAAAATGAGTTGGTAAAGTTTGTATGTGTGTGTGATGCTCACATGCAGCGGTGTGGAGTGGCAGTTGTCAAGACGTAGGCCATCAAACACCTCGGCCGTCAGTTCGACATACTCGCGCATGTGGGCCCAAAGGAACGCGCTATCTTCCGGCTTCTCACCATACCTACATACAAGCATGACAATTTTAGAAAACAGATAATAAATCTATTCAGTCCTCTTTATTAGGAACAAGAGATCTATAATTTTACAATATTTTACCACATAGACGTAAACCAACCTAAGTTTAACACTGTCTCCCCAAGCGATCAACTCTCTGCGTAGATAGACGCGTCCATTAGCTGCGCGTGCGGCGAAGTCCTGCAGCGGGTCAGCGTCCATGACCCAGCCGTTGTGCGCCATCACGTAGCGCCCCGCCTCCGAGTAGATCACCGCCTCCATCTCTGACAGCGTGCCCACAGGACACGGGTATGTGAAGTATCTACATACACCATCAGTAGACCATCAGTACACCACCAATCACCAATTACTTTAATATAGCAATTCATCGGAAAGGTACCAAGACATCATAAATGTAACGTATTTGTTATGCGTTTGGCCACACTTTGGATATTGGATAAATCCAAAAGTAAGATACATAAATTTTTCTTACCTGGGCACTAGTGGATGTTTCTCGCTAACTTCTTCAATCTTCGGTCCGTCTGACTGCAGTCTATAATACCTATAAAATAATAAAACAAATGAGACTTTTTTGTATCATTGCACGATCAAAAGAGAAAAAAATGGTCTATAAAGTAATCATAACATGGCACAGATTCGTCCACATTCATAGTTCAAAGTAAATGTATGTTTCAATATTGTGATGTTACCGCATGGCAGCGAGGCAGTTGTTGAGTGCGCTGCGCAGGTGGTCCTGCAGCTCTTCAGCCGCGGCCGCGTTCAGCTGCTCCAGTCGTCGCGCCAGCTCCTCGCAGCACCGCTTCAGTCGCGACTCCTCGTCGAAGCAGTCCGCTCTGACCACACACACATGTTCTACAGATATTTCCATACTAATTGGCAACGGACAATGGGGAGAAAATCTGCTTTTCGCTTACTATAGATGTCAACATGATAGGAACACTAAAATATTGATTTCTACTAATAGATATTAGTTTTAAACGCGCCTATTGATGTTAATTCTGTCTATATTAGTTCGAATCCACAACACCGCTACAAACCCCCACAATCAGCGCCAAAATGGCGAAATCCAAATAGACACAAAATACTACGTTTTATAGCCAGTATATTTATAGAAGTCAGTGCACTGAATATACCACAGATATACAAAAAAACACTTCATTTTTACAATTTTTAGTTTAAGAACAAGGTACGGTTTAAGGTTAGATCTGTTATGTACCTGTACACGTTGTACAGTCTGAGCGCGAGGTCCATATCGACGGTGGCGTGCAGACGGCGGTACTGCGGGTCCTGCTGCAGCTGCAGCTCACCCTCCCCCGCCTCGCCACCACTCGGACCCTCCCCCCGCACCGCAGGTACCCTGACATACGACACATCATGTATACTGTCTACGACAAAGCTGCGAGAGCGAGTGAAATAGCTATAGTTTACTTGTTGCGCGCCATGCAACAGAACTGCTGCACGATGTCGTCCACGTTGCAGGTGAACAGCTCGTGCAGGCGCGCCTCCTGCAGCCGCTGCGTCTCCAGGATGTGGATCACACCCTGTACACAAAATGCTACAATCAAGTAATTAACTATCAAACGATTACATTTGTGTCCGCCAATCACTTTAATATTGCAGCTTTTATTTATTGGAACACAGTACACGCAGTACTATTCTCGGTTAGCAATGTCACCTCCAGATGGTCGAGCTGTGTGAGCCTGCGAGGAGCGAGGTCTGCGGCGAGACGCGCCAGCACGGCGTCCAGCATGGCGGCGGGCCGAAGGTGCGGACAGTTGAGGCAGTTGTACGTCGCCTCGGGGTGCTCCGCCAGCCACGGCGTCTCGTTAGCCGTGTGGTTCAGCACCACGTCGCAGATTGACAGCATCTGATATACAAATATTATGTTGACATTTTCGATACTTCTTCTGTTCATTTTACGGCAATCTTTTACAAATACATATTTAATAACGTGTTAATCTGTTTGCATACATTCCACTCGTTGCGTATCTTGGTGACGAGATGCTCGACGTCTGCGAAGGTGTGTTCTCGAGCCCCGTCGCCGCTGTAGCGCGGGTCCAACCGAAGCTGGTTGGCGATGCTATAGCTAGAGTTGGAAGCACCCAGCTCCTGTACACGAACATTAATGTAGGAAACAATAGAGGACGCTGTATCGAATTCTAACTATTGTTAGAGAAAATCCTAACTTGTATGGGCGTGAAGTGCAACAAGTTGTAACCCGCTTCCTTCGCGGGACGTAGCGCCCGTTCCCAGCGCGAGAGCGGCCCGAGGCACTTGGCCAGCACGGTCTGGCACATGAGCGCGTCCGGCGCCAGAACGCGGCTGCCAGCGCGCAGCGTCGGCGCCACGTGGAACCAACCTGAACCCTGCACAATGGATACTTGTAAGTTATGTCATCCTTGAAGCTTTCTACATTTGACATCCGATTTTCAACAGAAAAGTTCTTTTATATACAGTAGTTGGATGTGAATCCAACCATATGATGTCTTTATATGAAGTGCAATCTAAGTCAGCTATGATTTTAAACGTATTCTGTGGGTTTATGAAAAGTCGAAGGCACCTGTGGTCCCAAACGGGACTCCGCGCTGTCGTAGACGAAATAGTAATGGAAGCAGCCGGCGCGTGCCAGCCGCAGTGAGCAGTATGCGTCCGTATCGGTTAGCAGCAACCCGCTGCCAAGAGCCTCGCCCCCGGTACCTCCAGCGCCCCCCGTCACGTTCTCCTCCTCTTCCCCGCCCATGCGCCATTCCAGGCCGTAGTACTGGTTGCGGACGAACTCTGCTTGCTCGCCTTTTTCATCTACTGATATGTTTTTTGTTTTTATTTATTTGTTCGAGGCAGAAGAATACAAAAATTGTATTGCTTACTGCAAAAAATGATATATTGCTGACAAATCTATAGATCCAATTTTCATATTATTTTATGGAACCAATTACGGCGTTTTGACAGTGACGACAAATATTTTATAATGAACATAATGATTATATGAATCTACTCACGTGTATCGTTCACCACATAATTTGTGTAGAGGAAAACCTTTCTTCCGAGCAGACTGGGACCCGGACTGAATTGCAGAACGCATCCTTTTTCAAACCTAACAAATTAATACATTCTTAACATTTCTAATTTCTGAGATAATAAGGAGAAAATGTTTTTCTTTTTTCCAAGTTGGAAACGAATAGTAATATCGTTTTATTGGCCAATTAATCCGATTTCATTCCGATCACTCGATTAAAATCGAGTAGTAACGGTTATTGTCCTAATGACATGAGGGCAATGTTCATGTATGTATGTTGTTCCCCAATAGAAGCTTGCTACCTGTAGAGCGTAGCATCCTGGTGCTCGCCGTGGTTGAGCGTGAGCACGCGCACCTCCTGCGCCGCCTCTGCACTCTCCCTCGACTCCCGAGCTTCATTCGCCCGCTTCTCCACTGCCATTTGTCTCTACACAAATTATTACCTGATATGTTAAGAAGAAGAATATCAAGAAGCTAGTCGTTTCTTCTCTTACAGTTAAACTCGGGTGCATATAATTATGCAAACAATTATTTTTTTTTACTGAATTTGTTTTTTTCGCATAACATTTAAGACTAATCAGCGGTCGATAACCTTTTCGATGACCGCCTTCTCATGCACCTTCCGAGCGTAGTCGCTCTTGTCGCGAGACGACATGCTGGGGGCGATTGAGTACGCGTGCGTGCCGTGTGCGGCAACGCGTGGTGAAGTGTGGCGACGCGTGGTGACGTTAGGATTCGCGTGGTGTCGTATAGTACCGCGTGGTGACGCGTGCTGGGCGCGTGTCGTGTGGCGCGGCTGACGACACAGTGGCCGCGCCGCCGCGCCGCCCTGCCTTATAGCCGCGGCGTGCAGAACCGTGACCACACCAACACTCGACACCACGAGGATCGCTTTCAGGCCTTTGTTCTGACCGCATGTTACGTTCGACCTATTCACTACACTATTCGGTGCGTGGACCCTTGAAAGTAGCAACCTATTTTACTTTGCGCATCTTTTTACAATCCAAATACGAGCGTCCTACATTGGATATCATATTCAATAAGTACAAAAACATGCTATGTTGATAAATAGGCCTGCTGCACACTTGCTTGTTCTTACGATCTGTTATGACTGGTTGCTGTATACTTCATAGAATATTTCCAATGACAAGTCTAGTATCAAGAATTAAATTCATTACAATAGATATTTCGTATTCATTAAGCATTCTAAAATTTATTCGGGATTAGACGAAGTTATTTTCCAGTACCATTCGCGATTTTTAAAAATTATTGGGATGAGTGGCTTTAGCTTATCAAACTCCGACAGTCTGACAAACAACTTCGACTTTTGTAAACACAATACCTATTAATACGGTAATTATTTCTTCTGTTATCTTTATTCGTTGTAGCGTTGGAACTTATCAGCATCTACAATAATAAATTTATAATAATATGTCACCTAGTGTGACCTTTGTTACACCCGTGCATACCAAAATTAAATTGGCAAATGTTTATCGATTAAGGTGAAGATAACATTTTCAATCTATAAATCAATAGTTTACCAAGAAAAATTCCATTATTGAACTCATTAGATCCACAAATTGGTGTCCAAAAAAAACTGTTCTTTAAAGTAATTTTAAGTATTATATTTTTTCTGTCCGATTACACCTCAATTACGAACTTTGAATGGTTATTTTTATAAAACCTTTAAGTAGGTAATTAGAGAATTTGAACATACCCGTCTATCCCTGAAGGCAGTAAATCGGGCTAAGCAAGACAACATTTTAAACCAAACCAGTCACTCAACAGTACTACCAATGGACTGATCTTGATCGAAATGATTCTATTGAAGAAACGCTCCACAAGAAATTCAATTAAATTCAAACAATGGTTATTAACTGTGGATATTGGGATCGTTAAAGACTTTATACGACTTTCGGGCAGATGGAGTATTGGACTAAATGGTAACGAATAACTATGTTATATACGAATATCCCTTTTTAAAATAAACTAAGTACATACCATTTACATTTTAATTCAAACAAAAACATATAAAATATTTCCATATCATCAATATATTTTGTTATTGCTTTGCAACTTTGTAACTTTAGTCTTTCGCACATTCTTCTTGAACATAAGAATTTTCTATTTCACGTTTGATGTTAACCAGTGTATCATCATAATTACCCTGAATTTTAAACTGTTCCTTGCAAAGCAAAATTTTTCGTAAAACATTAATAGCATTTAAACCATCATTAAGACTTGGTATACAAAATTGTTCTTCTGTATTTCTGTCGTCGATTTCTTCTTTCACCGCTACGATTTCTTGTACATCATTCTTTGCAGCTGATAAACAAGTGGCAACGGAGTTATCTATATCTACAAACTTCTCTGTTTCCGTGACATTCAAAGGTGGTCGCAAACTTTGTGCCAATTTATCTAAAGGCACTTCTTCTTCATCGCTATCAGTAACAAAAATCTGTTGCACTAGAGGCATAACGTCATCATCCGAGTATATTGTTAAGAACTCGGTTATGCCTGCTTGTCTAAAGCAATCGGCTATGGTATTCTGCGAAACGTTCTCCCATGCTTCTGATATCATCAAAATAGCATCGAGAACCGAAAAGCTCTTGTGGTTATCGTTGTCAAGGTTTCGTATGATATTTAACACTTGGAATCTTCTGTATTTATATTTTAAACACCTTATAATACCTTGCTGCATAGGCTGAAGCACAGAAGTAACATTTAATGGTAAAAACACTAGTTTTATATACCTCAAATCATTAACACTCTCATGAGCAGGACATTTATCAACTAATAGTAAAATTTTCCTATCAATTTCTTCTAATTCAGCATCCCAATGTCGTAACCATCTTTCAAAGATTTGTGAAGTCATCCATGAATTAACATTGTTTTCATATGTTACCAGTAGTGAATTATTGTTTTTTAAACAGCTTGGTTTTTTAGGTTTGCCAACAACTAAAAGTTTCTTTTTCATGGTTCCTGTCATATTTGCTGCTACAAGGATAGTTAGCCTCATGTTAGACATTTCCCCAAGAGAACAATGTTGTCCTTCAAACTTGAAACTACTGTCTGGTGTCAAACTATAAAAAAGTCCAGTTTCATCCGCATTAAATATGTTATCTGGTTCATATCCTGCACATAATATCGGCAACTTTTGGGATTTCCATTCATCTATAGGACTGGGAGCTTTATTTTCACCACATATTTTTCCATATATTATGCTATGCCGGGCTTTGAACCGTTGAATCCAACTAGCGGAGCAAACAAAGTCCTCTCCAAAATGCTTAGCAAAATCATTTGCTTTTTGTTGCAGAATAGGTCCATTTACAGAATAATTATTAGCTCTTTGATGTTTATACCACTTTAACAATGCTTCTTCAATATTTGTATTTTTCGTTGTTCTTGCCCGTTTCATTTTCAAATAATTGGCATCATAAAGTATTTTGATTTTTTCTCTTTTTGACCAAATGCTCGATATTGTTGAGTGTGGCACACCATATTCCTTTGCCAAGTCTTTGTTTAAAGTTCCACTCTCCAACTTTGATATTACATGTAACTTTTCTTTGATATTTAAACTTTTTCTTTTCTTTTGCGACATATTTTATCATGTACCTCAATTTTAAAATTTGACTGATCTTGTACACTTCTAAATGAATAATAGAATCAAAAAAATTATTCTTGGTTGAACTGTATGAAGACTTATACTGAATTAAATTAAGACCTAAATTTGGTCCATAGTCCTCATTTATAAAGTCTTCATGCATAACACTGTTCCAAATGTTTTTACCAATGAAAATTGTTAAATGGAACCGCTGGTTTACATATACATTATTTATCTAATGTCCACATTAAACTTTTTTTGACTGTTATTAGTAAGTAGAATGTGAACTAACTATACAATTACATAACAAACACAATAATTCAAACATTTTCTTGTTGTTGAAGGTGAAGTGTTTACCTACCAAGTTTTAATTAATAGTTTAATTTTGCCATTTTATTTAAAGCTATCGTTAACAAGAATTCATAAGTAATATAGTAATAATTTAAATATAGTTCATGGTAAACACTGAATGTGTCAACTTTTATAACAAATCTATTATTGTTTTGGTCAAAAATAAACAAAAATCACTTTTAGCATAATTAAGTTTTATTTTCAAATAATTAAAACAGGTTACAGGTGTTGTCTGTATACTACTGAGTACTCTTGTAATTTTAAACGGTTTTATTTTCAATGATTTAATCTATTCCTTAAATCCAAAATACTTACAAGAAAATGATGTGTGATGTTTTCACTGACTCATTACTTTACGTTAGATATTTTTCCGGAATAGAAAATAATTATTTCTCTATCAATAACTACTCTTTGTTCCGAGGAAAAAATTTTATTTCAAATTGAACTAATTCCCTCCTTTGAATTATAATCCTACTTTTGTGAGTTTTTGACAGTTTTCACCTCCACATGACCTTCAATTAAAACTTTTTATGTTGGGTAAAATTATTTTATTTTACGCAAAATCAGTTAATCATTATTACTACCTTAAAAATTATAACATTTAGGTGTGGTTTATGCGTAAATCAACTTGAATAAGAAAGGGGAAATCGCAAAAAAAATACGTTGGCAGAGAGTTTTATGTTCCTTTATACTTTTAAGATTAAAAGAAAAAGTTAACGTCAAGTTATCAAATTTTCAAATTGACAAGTTTCCCACTTTCGTTGACTTTCGTTTGTAAACTAAAACTTTTCTGACTTTCATGAATGTGGAGTTAAAAGATAAAAAGACTTAAACATAGTTGAACTCTTATTTATTTGAAATCACATGAAACATGAAGTTGTAAAATGTGTACTCGCCAAACGCCACCGTGTAAATGTCAAAATTAGGTTAGTACAGTATTGAAACTTTCTTCCACATAGTTGCTCCTTTTTATTTTGGTCAATTATATTCATTTTCTTTTCGTGGTATTTTGTAAAAAAATGACTGCCGTTCTTCCTGTTACTTTATTACCGATTGGTGTCCGGGGTATGAAAGTTCTTAATCGTCAGAAATTCTTGCGTAAGGTGGTGGTTCCGATACTAAAAGTGTGCGACGAAAAGGTGTCTGAAGTGACTCCCATATGTAAGAATTACTTTCTGAAACTTGAGAATTTCAAACCTATACAACCTCTGAAACAAGATTCCGAAAATTCATATAAGATTATACATTTAAACCCGGAGAGAATTAGTCATTGGACTGACATAGACAATTCAGATCGTGAAGTACTGCAGAAATGTGGCATCACAGAAAAAGATTTGGATTCAAAAGAAATAGAAATTATGTATGAAAATTTTAAGTATGATTCGATTTTCAAAGCAGTTCTACCAGAAAATGAAGAAACTGTAAGTGGATTTTCTCAAATAGGTCACATCATACATCTTAATTTGCGTGAACATCTTTTAGATTATAAGAAACTCATCGGAGAAGTATTGATAGACAAAATCAAAACATGCAGTACTGTTGTTAATAAAAATAACATCATTGATAACACATACAGAAATTTTAGTATGGAAATTATTGCTGGTGAAGAAAACTATATAGTTACAGTAAAAGAAAATAATTGTAACTTTAGATTTGATTTCTCAAAGGTATACTGGAATCCACGATTATGTAAAGAACATGAGAGAATATTAGAATACTTAAAACCAGGTGATATTTTATTTGATGTCTTTTGCGGAGTCGGTCCCTTTTCCATACCTGCCGCTAAAAGAAAGTGTAAAGTATTTGCTAATGATTTAAACCCAGATTCATTTACATGGTTAAATTTTAATGCTAAGCAAAATAAAGTTAATATGAAAAATTTTAAATCATATAATTTGGATGGAAAAGATTTCATATGTACAATTTTTAAAGATTTTCTAGTTAATTTGTGTAAAGGGACAGAAGAAATTCAGAATGAATCTAAAATACATATAACAATGAATTTACCAGCAATGGCTGTTGAGTTTCTAAAACATTTCAATGGATTATTGGAAGACAAAGTATTTATGGAGAAATTCAATTATGAAATTATTGTTTATGTGTATTGTTTTGTGATTGGTGATGACCCATATAAAGATGCAGAAAAACTGGTTAAAGAAAGTATTGAATGTGATATAAATATTTTGAATACTTTTAATGTAAGGAATGTTTCACCAAAAAAAGAAATGATGCGAGTCACATTCAAACTGACCAAAAATATAATTTTTGGTTTAAAACATGAATCAGAATGTGAGCCTCCTCCAAAAAAAATATGTGTAGAAAAAGAAATAAAAGAGTAGGCCACTTTAAAGTGATATATAAAAAATATACAGGGTGGATTCTGAGACACTTGAACTCTTACTTTTACACCCATAGTGTTTTATGAATTTGTCAAGTGTATGTAATATTATAAGTTAAAAACTATTATGATTAATATTGTTATAATAAATTAGGTCTATAAGTGGTCTTATAGTTTTATTTACATTACCTTATTAAGAATTAGCTTAGTAAATAAATGAAATGAAACAACTCAATGTTGCATAGTAGATTGGCTCATTTCAGCATTTGATGTCTTATTGATTTAAATGTAAACAATAAATATTTAAGAATATTACTGTGGGACAAATAAATGTTTACAAATATAAAATTGTTAAAGACACAATGATCAAATGACATTTTCGTCAATTAGATTTTCTTTGTAGTGCTTGAACATGCTTTAAATACTTTAATAAATTTTGCTGGTGTTGTTTAGCATTGTAACTAGTTAATAAGGTAATTAAAATGTTAATTAACATATAATTTACATAGATTAGTAAGAATGCCTGCAACTCCATAATTTTAAAATAATATAGTCCCACTATAATGCTACTAAGTTAACATTCTTAAATAGATATTTTAGAATATTAATAACTCATGATTATACCATGGCCAAGTATTTTTCTCTTATGATTGAAAAACGCGCCCTACATAGTGTTAGACCTACACTAGTGTTGGCATCAATTAAACATTTTAATGCCAACTTTTAATTATCCGAAACAGATAAAAACGCGTTATTCTTTTTGCCGCATAAAACCTAAACAATTATTCAATCATTATCGAATTTGTATAGTAACCTTCGGAACTAAAGTATGCTTGTGATTTCTCTTTGTACAAAGTTACTTGATTGATGTTAATGTGTTTGAAATAACATAGTTGGTTTTAGGTTTATTTAAAGATGCCGCAAAAATTGGAAAACGGGAACATGGATCTACCAGATATTGCGGAAGTTCTAGAAGAGACAAAACAGGTACGATTTTTAAATGTTAAACATTTTATTGTGTGTGTTCACTGGGGCCACTTCAATTGTAGTCACCAAATCAGTTTCGATTTATTTAGTAAGATTACATTATTTTAGATGTATGGATGTTTGTTTAAAGTCATATCCGGAACGGCTGAACGGATTCGAACAAAATTTGGCATAGATGTAGAATATAGTCTGTAAGAACACATCGGCTACTTATTAACTTTGTATTAACTCCGCGAGGACGGAGTCGCGAGCGACAGCTAGTAATAAGTAAAATCAAACAGTTATTGATTTTTTAATAATGAATACGACTAACAGTTTGATTTATTCTTTACAGATAATACAAAAGTGTTTTACACAGTTTCAATTAGATGAAGTGTTTTTTTCCTTCAATGGTGGCAAAGATTGCACTGTCTTATTGGATGTTACAATTGATGTATTAAAAACTATGTATAAGAGAGAAGACATAGTAAAAGATCTGAAAGTACTGTATATACGGACAAGAGGACCGTTTAAAGAAATAGAGAAATTTGTTGAAGAAATAGAGAGTCATTATAAAATTAAACTCATAGTGGCAGAAGGAGATATAAAGGAAGTGTTACAGGGAATAACAGAAAGTGATAAGAATTTAAAAGCCTGTCTAATGGGTATAAGACGGACAGATCCTTACAGCGAACATTTGAAATTTATGCAGGTAAAAAAAAAATTTATACTCTGTTGTCTTCCTGGAATTAACTTATTTTTTAACAAAAGAATTATCCGTATTGTAGCAAACAGATGAAGGCTGGCCGCAATTCCTACGAGTGTCGCCCCTTTTGAACTGGACATACCATCAAATATGGAGCTACATACTGCAGCGACACGTGCCTTACTGCAGCCTCTATGATAAAGGGTAACATATCTGCATAAGTAAATAGAACTAACTAGGGTGAAACCTCCTGTATACTGCCTACTATTAGTGGATACAGGGTGTTTACATAATTATACGAGGATTCTCCACATACCTATGTGGTTTAGAGGTCAATAGAAAAGATTCAAATGGTTAAGATAAAAGGGTGTTTCGTTGGGCCGACCGGGTTACCGGTCAATAGGTCCAATGGGATTTTTTTCCAATAGGAAACAACCAAAATTCCAAATAATTGATAGAGAGACGTGCATTCAACAATGGCACTTTTAAAACTTAAAATAAAGGTTTTTTTTATTTACAGTTACACGTCAATAGGCAGTACATCGAACACGTGGCCTAACCAGGCACTAGCTTATAGTGAAAACGGTGTGGTGTCGTATCGGCCCGCGTGGCAGCTGCAAGACGCCACGCTGGAGCGCGCCGGCCGCGGCAAGCTGTACGCAAACGGACACGCCCATGCGCAAGCGCACGTGGACGTTGACATACAGGCTAACTTATAAGTACGTAGCTAGGGAAAAATACAAGTGAAGTAACGTGCGTTTATCATATTACAGTGATCTTGTAGAAGAAATATAGTGCAATTATTAATTTATAATTTAAAATACGCCCAATATATCGTATTTTAGCGAGTAAAAAGTTTTAGTTTACGTAAATTGTTTGTGCCTATAAAATTGTGTCCGAAAATTGGGAAAATTGTGTCTTCAAAAATACTCGTGTATAGAAAATTGAATTTAATAACATAGGGAAACCCAACACAACGTTAAACGCAATTTATCATCTCAAATTATATTTAAGTGTTCTGTATGTCACAAATATATTGATTGCTATATATGGCATAATTATATAAAACAAGAACAAAACTCTTATCTAATATAAAACAAATTTAATGAAATTAAACTACTATTCACATTGGGTGCTTGAAGAGCCCATAATTGGTTACCTCAACTGCCTGAACCACAAAATCCTTTCCGGTAATTATTTTGGATTGTTTGTACTTATGAGTTTACTTGCACTTGCAAATCAGATAATTATCTTTTGCTTCAAGCTGTTATTGTTAAAAGTAAAATTGTTTTTAATTTTATTTGACAGATAAAATTATGTTCTACAAAAATATGTTTAGTCTGTCAATGTAACTGATTGGATTTCTTGTTCTTTAATTTTTTTTTAATTTATGGAATGTTTTTATTTTTGCCAAACTATTTATTTTATTGTACTTTTTTTCTACAGATCTATTGAATTATACCATACCAATATTTAATCTATAGCGTGATAATTTTACCTCGTTTTACAGAAATTATTTATTACCAGTGCAAAGAATCATTTAATGTACTTTTATTTGTACTTAATTTTAAATACATGTAAATCGTAATATTGGCCTTTAATTTGAATTTACATATTAAATATTATGTTTAAATATTTTTCTAAAACTATTTGAAAAAATTCTTGTACACCAATTACCCTCTTACAAAATTATCACTATCTGTTTTAAAAAACTCATTTTACATAACTATATTTATTTATTTTCTATTATATTTTATACAGCCATATTTAATTAAAATAAAAAATTAATGCTAAGTATTACTTCCCATGTTGTTAGGTTTGACATGCTTTCTAATAAATTCTTGAAACATGGCAACATCTTCCGGTTTGTCATCTGAAAATTAAAAATACCTCATAACTATTTAAACCAAATTAATTTTAACTTTATTGTAATTGTTCGGCAGCATGCAAGCAATATATACGCGCATTAAATAATTTGTATTTTGCAATTCTATTGCTTAATAATCTATTTCATCTAAGCAATTGCCTAAACATCTGTTACGCTGATGGTAAATCTAGTGAATAATGGAGGTCTGTGTAACCATTGTCATCGTCATTGTGTTTGTATACTCCAGTAAAATGTATAGATGTATTTCTTACCCTCAATCACCCCAGTCTCTGTACCCTCTTCATCACTGGAGCTCTCATTGCCGGGGTGCTTTAGGTACATATCTGCTATCTCTCTCCCTGCCACTGTCTCCTCTATAAGTTTCTTCTTGTCTATCACTGTGTCAGATGAATCTGTAATATCAAGTATTTTGTAATTTGATGAACCACAATCAGGTCATACCTTTATATAATGAACCTCACCTTGAGTGCCTTTCTTTAACTCTTCCTCTTTTCGTTTTCGTTCTTCCATCTTCTCCTCTTTCATTTTGAGCCAATCTGCTTTATATTCCCTGAAAAATTTAATTATATTAAAATTCTCTATTGACTTCCAGCAACGTAAATTAAGGATATAATCTATTTATTGCAAATGGTTACTTACTTTTCATATTCTTCAGCAGCTTCATCAACTAATTTGAAGAATTCATCCAATCCCTGGAGCATAAATTTTTAAAAGTAATAAAGCTGCTATATCCACACCAAAATATTCAAAACCTCATAAAATTATAATTTAACGTACATCACCAGTATGAGCACTGACTCCACAACACTTTAGATCACTGTAGAAATTATCCAGTGCTAGGGCCATAGAGCGCGTGAGGTTTCCCGCGTACGTGCCGCCCTCACCATCCACGCCCGCGTCCAATGCATCTTGGAATGATTCAAAATCACGCATCCATTCCACTGCATATGCATTATCTACTACATCTGTCTGAAACAAATAATAATCATCTTACTTATGTTATAATTGCAAATGTTTAGATGGGTGGATGTTTGTTAGAAGGTATCTCCCAAACTACTTAATGGAACTCAATGAAATTTAGCATATATGTAGAACATATCTGGAAGAACAAAGGCCACTAATTCAGTTTTGTTTAATCCCACACAGACGGAGTTGTTAGTGACTCTATTCAAGTATGAAAGACTAAATATGCCTAGTCAATATAGAAACTAAAGATTATTATTAGTAGTTATAAACATTATGTAGCTTACCTTATTCATTACAACAATAAAAGGTAATCTCGTCTTGTATAGTATAGAGCAGGCATATAACATGTTGGACATGAAGGTGACAGGCGACACACTTCTAACCGTGTCCATTACGTACACAACTACAGTTGGACATGAAGATGCCAGTGTCTCTGTCACTATAGTGCCTGACGCTGACCATGTGAATACTTCTATTTGACCTAATAATACAAACATTAATTTAAGTAATACACTCAATAAACGACATATTTTAGTTCTCCCATATCTTTATTCTGACATGTCATTGAGATAATCATCATCAGCTCACTATACATCCCAATTGAATGGCTTGGAACCTACCCTAAGTTAGCATTGACTAGGCCATAATGCTGGCCCAGAGCGGCTTGGTTGATGTCACACATATCTTTAAATTTCTTCATAGATATATGCATGTTGCATCACAATGTTTTTCTTCACCAAAAGAATGTATGACAAGTATGTATCAAGATAATGTAATATGATAAATTAAAGTTTTTCTAACTCAAGAATAAATATTATTCCTTATTTGTAGATAAAAGTTTACAAAAAGATAGTATTTAATCTGAAACAAATATGATTTATTACCTGGTGTGTCAATGACACAATATTTGTGCTTCTTCCCGGCTTTCTCTATTAAGTCTACAACTTGACCAAACTTTGTTGAGAACAAATTTAGAGCAGTGACAATACCACCATTAGGTCCCAAGCCATACTGTTTCATCACTTCCTTATAGTCCACTGTGTCTCTTACATCTAAAAGATAAATACAGGAACACCATGTAATTAGACCAGACTTTAGATTTTTTTTTTATAACAGAAGGGGGCAAACGAGCAGCGGGAACACCGAAGTGTTCAACGACGCCCATGGACATCAGCAATACCAGAGGAACCGCAGATGCGTTGCCGGCCTTTGAGGTGGTGATAGGCTCGCTTCTTGAAGGACCCTAAGTCGTATTGGTTTGGAAATACCGCCGAGGACAGATCGTTCCACAACGCGGCTGTGCGAGGCAAGAAGTTGCGCGAGAATCGCACCGTTGTGGAATGCCAGCCATCCAGGTGGTGTGGATGGAACCTGGCGGTCTGTCGTGTCGTCCAATGACGGAACTCGGCGGCAGGAATCGCTCCAAACAATTCTTCAGAGCACTCCCCGTGGTATATGCGGTAGAAAATACAGAGGGAACTAACGTCCCTCCGCAGCGCCAGAGTGTTGAGCCGATCAGTAAGAGCTCGGTCGTTGACGATTCGAATCGCTCTCCGTTGTATGCGGTCAAATGGAAGAAGCTGGTACTGGGGTGCTCCCGCCCAGAGATGCGAGCAGTATTCCATGTGGGGCCGAACTTGCGCCTTATACAGCTGGAGGCGGTGGCCCGGTTGGAAATACTGCTTTGCTCTGCTGAGCACACCCAGTTTTTTGGAGGCCAGCTTAGCCTTGTCTTCCAAATGACCGCGAAACTGAACGTCATTCGATATGTCAGCGCCGAGAATACTGATACTGGCTGAGGCAACCAGGGGAGTGCCCTCGAAACGAAGATCCACGACAAAGGGCTGTTTTTAGCGGTAGATATAAATATGTGACTAAATATGTATAGGGACTATCACTAAAACATCTTACACCCTTAAGTTTAGACGTAACACGAATTCGCAATTTAAATTAGATCTTTTGACGGAAGAAAGAAGTTTTACGTTACCTATATTAGCTGGATAAGGCACTTCTCTGCAAGCCGGGTCTAAGTTGATCAAATACGGTCGAGAACCTTCCACTACTCTCCCCGCCAAACGTCTCGTAAATGAGGTTTTACCGGCTCCTGCCATTCCTTCAAACATACAATATACATTTGTAAAGGGTTATCTAAAATTGGAAATACAATAACAAATTGAAACAAAAACAAACATCTAACCTAAAATTATGAGGCAAATTGGTTTTCTACTTTCTTCGTCCATGATGATTTAAAGTTTAGTAAGTATTACGTTTACTGTTTTTCAAGATTTAGATTTGTATTATTAGTAAAATTCGATATTGAAATCAATTAATTATCGTAACAAACAAAGTAAACCACAAGTTTGCTGCTAATGTCAAACAATTATTGACATTCCTTTGACATTGAGTTGAGTTGAGCATCAATCTCAGCTGTCATTGATTCGATTTCAAGTTAAATCGATATTTACTAATACATCGTTGAAACCAAAAATAGATTAGAGTAGATTTTCACTTTTTGGTATTTATTGTTTTACTTTTAATGCAAATAAAATAAACAAGTACTTTTACAAAAAAATAATAGGCACTTTATTAATTGATTATTAAAAAAATATTTACATTACATACAGTTTGAATAAATCTTACAAGTTTAACTTTCTTTGTCGAGATTCAAAAACATTATGGGATACAAATGTCCTAGTTTTGATATTCTCTTCTGAATGATAAGTCGCAGCGTGTCCGTGTAGGTTGATGGCGGCTTGCACGTGGAAGGGTCTCGCCAGTGTAGACCTGTTGAAAATATTAATCTTAATATTTGAAGAACATACTCGTTGAATTTTTGAAATAGCGGCATAATGTGTATATTTTCATTTACCAGAAGAATCGCAAGTGAACAATGCGGGTGACGGCACGTGGTCTCTTGTGTAATTCCATAGACAATCTCGTAACACTTGGACAAGCTGCAACAAACAAAAGATATCACAAACCCGAACAAAAAAACAACCATTCTTAAATAAGGGAGAATAAATAAAAATTAGGAATATAAAAATGTACGTCACAATCGCAAACATGAATTTGAACTCGAAACCCAAATTTCGGCAAATGACGAAGTTGTAATGTTTGGATTTTTTAACAACCTGGTCACATTCTTAGTAACATGGTTATAAAATTAGAAATCCAATTATAAAATGCACAGGAAGTATATAATACTTCTACATTAAATCAGGTTATTTTGACTTTACTATTCAGGGATCTAAGCGTGTACTAGAGTAATGTATCACCTCGCTGGCGGTGAGTTCTGGCGCGAGTTCTAGCATGTGGCTGAGCGGGTGCGGCAGCAACTGGCCCAGCGCCATCACCGACAGCAGCTCCGACAGTGCCGACAGCTCGCGCGCCGCCTCCGCGGACTGCGCGTGACGGTCTGGCAACATATTTCACATCTACACTAACGCCCTCGATGCAAGCAAACAAGCACGTGCGCATGTGCTTGAATACTTTTCAGGTAAAACTATTGATAGCATTGTTTTAATGACGAAAGATGTGTTATAAGTAGTTGTAGTTCTTCTTATTATTTAAATTGAAACATCTAAACATATTTGCAAATTAAACCAATATGTCATAACATGATATTTTTATGGAATTTTGAAATTATGAAAATGGCAACACTAAGCCGTACTACCGCTCTGTCATTGGTCAAAATATGACGCTATCAAGATATTATTAGTTGAAA